CTCTCTCTCTCTCTCTCTCTCTCTCTCTCTCTCTCTCTCTCTCTCAGGTTTTATCAGTGAAGCAGAAACTGGTCTGATAGATAAACGCTCCTGGGATTGTTAGGGTATTTTATTTTTGAACATGACTGGAGGCAGAGAGAACAGGGGTGCTTTTATTTTGGCAGGACGTGTTTTTAAAAACAAGCCCGACCCCTGCAGGGATCAGAACACAAGGAAGAAATCCATATTTACACTGTGTATCCAGCAGAGGGCGCTGCTGCACAAACCTGTACAAGAACATTTCTGATTGATTTGTTATGAACAAATGTATACTTCTTGTTGTTTTTTTTWAAATCTCAGACACAAATCATACAGACGCCTAAACATAAGGACGAGTTGCTTTCTTTAATCTCATCTCAGAGCGCGCATGCGCAGGCTTGTGTGGGCGTGTGCACACGTCCCCGTGCACGTGTGCTAATTTTGGACGTTGCTGCGGGCAGAGAAAGAATCTGGCAAATGAGTGATCATTATTCATTCTGCTCCTCAGAATGTGCAGATGAAGACAGGAGGAAGAGGAAGATAATGAGGAAGAATAAAAACTCCTTTAATCTGGACTTTGTGTGATGATTATTAACCTGCTTATTAATTTATTTACTGGGTTTGTCATATTTTGGGGAACAACACAGCTGCTGTCCTTTCTGCCGCTTGTTGCTTCAAAACAAGGAATCTTTTCTCTGATGTGAAAACTGTAGGAAGCATCAGTTTCACATCACTTCTGTCTTTCTGAGATCTCTGGATTAAAATCTGAGTGAACGATAAAAACATGTGCACCTAACCTGACAACTCCCTGTTAAAGGGGCAATATCATGTAAAATCAACMTTTTTGAGTTTTACATCATGTTATAATGTTAAATTCTCATAAAAAACATGCCCAAAGTCTTGCCTTGACTCATTCATGCATGTTTGAGAAATCCTGCAGTGTTTTTAGGAAGCCATGCTGAGGAGCAAAACAACAGGTGGGGACCAGAAACACCGTTTGGGACGTGTTTTTAAGCTGAACTTCCTCATGGCAGACCCCCCCCCACCACACACACACACACACACACAC